ACTGTACACCATATTAGTTTTGGTAAATATTATGCTTCTTAATCACTAATTAACATAATTAATTAATACTGATATCTCAAGTATTGAGCATCACATTTGAATAAAACTTGGTACATAAATGCTCTAGGACAATAGACAGCCTGATTAATTTTGGGTTAAAATCTGTTCATATTAATTCTCTTAATCAGCACAATAATTAATAATTTTTTGGTTCTAATCACATTTCAATGAAACTTGGTACATAGATATTAAATTACGCAGATCTTATTAGTTTTACATTGCGCAGACCTTATTAGTTTTACACTTAAATGTGTTCATATTAGTTACCTTATTTGCATAATTAGTTTTCTGCATTTCCATCAATATCTCAAGTTCAAGTAATTTTGAATTAATGTGTCTCCAATACTCTCAGCACACGGGAGTTCTTTCTAAGCTTTCTTTGATTTTTTTTTGGATCGGGTTTGAAATGGCCGACTGGCAGCCATTTTGTTTTAAAGAATTCAGTTCTGGATCCGTATCTGAGACATACCTGGATTGATCGAGTTCAAACTTCACACACACAAGGTACATCATGTCACAAATATGTATGTGCATTTGTTTCATGATCTCATTAACGATAACCAAATGGCGGCCGCTTTAAGGCCGAAAATGCATTGAAATCGCACGTTTTAACCATTCCGGACCTGGATCTCAGTTATGCATGGACGGATTTTGTTCAAATTTGGTACATACATTAAACATAATAGGACCTTGATGCACGTCATTTTTTTTCCGGATCAAATTCGAAATGGCCGACTGGCGGCCATTTTGTTTTAAAAAATTCAGTTCTGGATCCGTATCCGAGACATGTCTGGATTGATCAAGTTCAAACTTCACACACACATGGTACATTGTACATCATGTCACAAATAGATATGTGCATTTGTTTCATGATCCGCTTAACAATAGCTGAATGATGGCCATTTTAAGGCCGAAAATGCATCAAAATCACGTATTTTCACAATTCCGGAACCGGATCTCAGTCATGCATGGATGGATTTTGTTCAGATTTAGTACAATGTGTTGTACATATACAGGTGCATTTCGGTCATGATCTGCTTTGAATGTATATGTCGCTCAAATATGAACGGAACGGGGACGTGTCATTGACAATGACTTGTTTATTGTTTTCAGCAAAAGTAAACATGATGATGAGGTGAAACATTTACTGGGACATTTTCCAACACAGAATGTACGAATGATGTTATCAGACTATTTGCTGTAAGTGTTTATTTCTCATGTCATTAATTGTTAATATGGCTAAATTGTTTACTATTGTTAACAAATCATGTCAAGGCATATCCGAGAAATGTTGATGAATAGAACTCAAAACATAAGTACACTTGATTGAATATTCTTTTATTTGTACTTACCATATCAGCAGATGCATGATAAATGTTATGTTTGTGTGTTTGTTTATCCAATAGAAGATGAAATGATATTGAATAATGTTTTTTTTCTGACAGTAAACAAAGTAGAGCAGTGAAATTAGAAGAGAATCAACTACAGAGGAAGAGAAGTCAACTCAGTGCTAAGGAACAGCAATGGAAAATGACAAAGTTAGTACACATACATGTACAATCAAGTTTATAGTGAAGTTGTGCTTCATCACATCATTATATTCCCATCACTGAAATTGGGAGTTTTCTTTACTGATGTCCAGAATTTCCTCACTGGTATCTATAGTTTCCCTCACTAGCATCCAGAGTTTTCTTTACTGATGTCCAGAATTTCCTCACTGGTATCTATAGTTTCCCTCACTAGCATCCAGAGTTTTCTTTACTGATGTCCAGAATTTCCTCACTGGTATCTATAGTTTCCCTCACTAGCATCCAGAGTTTTCTTTACTGATGTCCAGAATGTCCTCACTGGTATCTATAGTTTCCCTCACTAGCATCCAGAGTTTTCTTTACTGATGTCCAGAATTTCCTCACTGGTATCTATAGTTTCCCTCACTAGCATCCAGAGTATCCTTTACTGATATCCAGAGTTTTTCTCAGAGGTATTATGTAGATTTTCAGTAGGCAAGGTTGTAATAGTAATGCTATGTTTTTAATTGTTAGAGAACTGCTGAAGAAGAAAGAAGATGAACTGAGAGGCTACGAGGAGAAGATCTTTGAAGTTTCTGGTCGTCATGATTTTGATCAGGAGTTGGATGATTTAGAAGTCTCTATTTATCATCTTCAGGAGTGAGTGTAATTGTCTGTCCATCAATAGCCAATCTGTGTCTTATATTATTTGGCAGAACTTGGTCTCCTGGTTCCCATGGCTGCTGTGGCTCCGTCGTGAGAGAGGGGTTAGCCAATATAATCAAATCAAAACATAATATGTTGAAAACAGAGCCTGTAGACAGTTCAATGAGAATTAATATAAAAGGTCCAACATGGAGAATTTAATTTCTGGCAAGATTTTGGTTTATGGGTAGTGAAGAAAAATTGGTAAATATTATGCAGCAAGAACATAGTGATATTAGGTTTCTTTTAACAAACTCAGAAAATAATCTATTCTCTAAACAAGGATGAATACACCAGGTCCTGTGATGAACTAAAACCATGCTATGTTGAAGTAATGTTTATTCATGTGATGTGTGACATTTTATGTTGTTATACAATGCTATCTTATATTCATATCATATGTGACATTTTATGTTGTTATACAATGCTATCTTATATTCATGTGATATGTGACATTTTATGTTGTTATACAATGCTATCTTATATTCATGTGATGTGTGACATTTTATGTTGTTATACAATGCTATCTTATATTCATGTGATATGTGACATTTTATGTTGTTATACAATGCTATCTTATATTCATGTGATGTGTGACATTTTATGTTGTTATACAATGCTATCTTATATTCATGTGATGTGTGACATTTTATGTTGTTATACAATGCTATCTTATATTCATGTGATGTGTGACATTTTATGTTGTTATACAATGCTATCTTATTGATACAGATACTGTTACACTACCAATCATGTGTTATTAAATGAATTAAAAGTTCATCAATTTATAACTTGCCTAGTTTATCAAACATAGTGACAGATTTCAACGACCAATTGCCCGACATTACTGGGTAATTACCCAAAACCTTCCCAACTAGCATAAAATATCTTTGAAATATCTCATTTACCAAATTTCATGCCCTAAAATCTAGCTGCAAAACTGCAGAATAAAATTCATATGCACAATGTTTGAGCTTTATTCTGCATAGTTTGCTTTTAAGGCATAAAATCGTCAAACACTCATTCACTCTTTCAGCTTGGTCGCTTTTCTCATATTCTTTGGCTAACTCAGTTTACCTTCTAATTAGCCAAGTAGGCTAAAGAGTATTATTAGCCAAAATAGCCAATGTGTCTATTTGGATTCTTTATTATTTAGGAGGAAGAGGGGTTTGATTCCAAACAGCATTTTATGTAAAATATATAATACAAATTGGTTGTTTTTGTTTTCTATGATTAAACTCATCAATAAATTGAACAATAATTTTTTTTTTTTTTAATGTAGTGAAAAAGGTGCCTTGAAAGCCAGTGAGCATTTATATGGACGGTACACAAAGCAGTTACAGAAAGCTGATGCTCGGTGTCCTTTATGTCATCGTGGTTTTGGTGGTGACCAAGAAGTACAGGATCTTATTCAGGAGGTTAGCAATGTGATATTTAACAAATCTAAGTCTTTATGTGAATTACCAGAATTTATTCATTCGGTTGTTAATCAGATTCATTTTCAGGTTAAAAATATAGCAAATTCAAGAATTTATCCCATTTCTGATCTGGTTGTATATGGAAGGATTTGGTTCAAACATGGTTTATACATTGAACCTTGATGCATGTCGTTTTTTTTCCAAAATGGCAGATTGGTCACCATTTTGTTGTCATGAATGCTATTTGAGAACCATGTCTCTGACATGCCTTGAATGAGTTGATTGATAATGTTCAAACATTGTGTTTACATCATGTTGTACATACATAGTTACCTATATTTGTGTAATGCCATTTTGATGTTAAAAATTCATCAAAATGAGGCATCTCCGCCATTCTGATTCCAGATCTCAGTCATACATACAGCTACAGTACAGTTCTCGCGAAAGCTTTGGCTTTTGTGGCATCATTGTCGCCTACACATAGCTTCATTGTCACCTCAGCATGACATCATTGTGGCCTCAGCTTCGCGTCATTGAAAATTGAAGCTGTGTTCGCCTCGCTTATTTTGTGGCACCATCGTGGCCTCAGCTTCGCAGTCTCATGGCATCAACATGGCATCAGCTTCAAAGTATTGTGACATGAGTATGACCTCATTATTTTCACATGGAAAGGCAGTAGAGAAAAACACATGTACAGAAGTTCGATATGTAATCGATTTGAAATTCAAAGCGGTAAGGGGAATAAAATAATATGACCAAGAGTAAAATGACATTTTAAACAGATATCTTGTTTAATTATTTAATGTTGCGAGTATTGGGTACCAAAAACTTTGTGAAGTGCATTGCAACCTGCAAGGTGACGAGTGTCATATTGACTGTAAGGAAAATAGTGATAAATTTAAATCATACGATGCAAACTGTTTACGAAATAAAACTGTTCTTGTTATAATATTACCTTATTTTCATTTATTTTATTTGCTGGTAAGAGAACAGATTCAGATTCCTCATTTTGGTGGTATTTTTCTGTGTTTCGTCCGTAGCTGAGTCCGATCCCATGCCCGGACCACTAATACATGCAAAACACACGTACGCCGCCTGGTGCGTCGGCGTTGTCACCTGCCATCTTGATACAAAGTTCCAAAACAAGTGCATACATTTCTAACTATGATTGGATGGTTGTGGTGGCGTCGGTCTGGTAAAATTTTACATCCAATTTTCAAAATTAAGTCACGATTAGTCTATACGTACTTTAAAAGTATTCTCACAAAAATATTTTCGAATAAAAATGAGCCACAGGCCTTGTAAATAATCGAATAGCACTTGACATGCAGAAATAATTTATTGGGCCTCAGAAAAAACCGTGTTCATTTAGTTGTAGCCGTAAATATTTGGTGACCTGTCGATGAACATTTGAAACTCATGATACACACTGAATATCATCGACCCCAATCTGGTTTACCTTATTTCCCAACTTGCAGAACTGATTTGTATCTCAGCCCAGTTTTTCTTTTCTTTTTTTTTGAACTGTGGTCAAATCCCAGCCATTTGTCAAAATATACCGATGTTTTTCAGTGAATAATTGTGAAGCCTGTCACAGCACAAAAAAACTATGTGAATCGACGCCGGAGATTGGGTGGTACGATGACCCTTAAATTAGCGTCAAATATGCTTTGTTACAACATCATTGATTGGCTGAGAATCACTTGATTGGAGCACGATCTGGGTCACAGAACCATATTTGTCCGTATTATCAACAGGACTTTGCGAGAGAACCACACCCACATTTTCAACCATTTTTAGCACGGAAGTTGCCAACAAATGTCGAAAAACTCGTGAATTTTATGGATTTGAATATAATAAAGCTAGCGATTGGTAAGACTGGTTAATAATATATCCCCCGATGCTCTTTGAATTTTTTTATTTTATTTCAAGGTGAGAAATGGATAATTGAAGTTCCATCGATTTCAAGGTGACTGTTTCACCAACTCTACGCTGTGTTGTAGTTTCGCGAGGTAAAAAAAATATATAATAAATAGTACTTATTTAATTATTTGTTTAATTGTTTAGTTATTTGGATCGATATTTCAAACAAATTATTGGGACATGGTCGGTAGACATTTCAAACAAATGAAATTATTAACGAAAGACGAGATTTTTCCAGATGTTTACGAACATACTGTCATACCAAATATATGCAAAAATGACAAATACACAAAGAGATATTAGGTTTTATTTTAGCCTTAGAAATATTTTCTTTCACTCAGTCCATGCGTGGGACTTCTATTTAGCTTCATGGTCCTAAGGCTTGTCTTCTCCTTGGGGGAAATAACAATACAATGTAATTATACAAATCGTAAACTCAACACAGTCAGGAAAAGAAACCCGGGCAAACATGTCATACTTCTGTTGAAATACATTTTGTAGCAGTGCGTCACGTCAGATTATTGTTTAAAATAAAATAGTCAATCCCAGCCAAATCTAGGTCAAAGGGTCAGATTGCATGCATATAATTATAGATAGTTAAAACAAAAAGTATTTGAACTTTTGACAGGGAATTGTTAACATCTATGCACTGTTTCTAAACTAGTAACTAGTAACCGTGATCTATGAAAACCATAAAATTGTTAGTACGAATTTTTGCACAGTCCAAAATAAAGCGGAAATTCAACAAGCGATCGCAAAAGCGAGCGATTGAAAAGCGGAAGCGGGCGAGAGGTTGGGCGAAATGAATTCTGTACTTCTCATGCCACATTGTCGCCATAATGAGGCCACAATACACCGTTTTCATAAAGAGGGCGCAAATCCAGTCACGTGCTATTTTGCGATCGAAATCGAGGCTAGTGAGTATAGCAACCAGGGTTGCCAATATGTAAACATTGCCACCGCGGGTTTTATAGTTGAAGTACCTGGACGTCTCTTTTCTGATTTTTTTTGGAAGCCGCTGTATTTTTAGTCCCCGTTCGGACGTAGTCCGAAAACGGGGACTTATGTTTTGCCCTGTGTGCATCCGTG